TAAGACCAAATACACGACAGAGTGAGGTATCCACTGAGGGCTAACATTTCTTAAAATGCCAGTCTATGTGATTACAGTTGAAGATTGACGCTCGACCTGATTGGTTTAAACTGTTTTATCGTTTTATTGTTTTATTGTCATTTTGCCATACATACAAAGTATACAAATGAAATTTTAAAAAAGATGAGGCAAGGGAGCCCAAGGAAGCCTTGTGTATAGGAACACCTTTTAAAATCATGTCATCTAATTAATAATTACAGTTCTGACATCGGCAATTTAACTCTAAGTACGCACAATTTCAACATAGAAAATAATCATTAAATAGGATAATAATAGAAAAGGCTGAACGTGTAAGTGCAAAAGCGAGAAAGAAAAGGTGAGAAAAAATAATGCAAGAATAAACGAGAACAGGAGCCCATAACCCGGAGCGTTCAACTGCCATAAATTCGTGCAACGGCGTTTTTACAAGTGAGTTTATTTTTAGATAAGCTTTTCCCGCGAAAAATAACTGTTCCACGAGGTCAATTCCTGCATTGGATCGTCGTTTAGACTGTTAGTAGCTCGCTTGGACCTTTTCACAGTCGGCTATTTCGAAGATGATTTCGATTTAATTCCCTTTGCGTGAATTATGCGTTGTCGTCTATGACATCCTGGCTAGGTTTTGCAAATCTTGTTCTGAACTGCTAGTTTCCGTGTAAATACTGAAATTGTCGTTTGAAGTACTGTCAGAAGACTTCTCTGAAGATTCCTCACGTGTGTCCGCCATGTTTTTTTCAATGTGAAGGAGTTGTCCTAGTTACGTATTAAAAGTTTGTCATTAATGACGCAATTGCTTCTGATTGGCTTTTCGAAAGCAATTCGCGGGAAAGGCTTATCTAAAAATAGACCTACTTGTGAAAACGCCGTTGCATAGGCCCAGTATGGAAGTTAGACGCTCCGGGTTATGGGCTCCTGACGAGAAGCAAAAAGCGAAAGAAGCGAAAAAACTACACACAAGCATTAGGAGAGCTAAAGTGTGCTTATACCATTATTGGGTGTCCTGTGCAATTAATAGGGGAGGTTTTTTGGAGATTGCATTCGTCGTCGTCGTCGTGGTCGACACACTTTTGCCTCTCTTTGAGGCGCTTGCTTACGTTTTGCCTCACTTTGACGCGCTAACTCACTTGGTGATTCGTGTGTCCTCGGCGTTCATCTTTCAAATGTTTGCTGAGGTCTGCTATTCTGTCTTCGTAAATCGTTCATCTTAAATGCGCTGAATTTTCGATCGTAAAGCGTACATAATTAAGAGTTTGCTGAAGGTCTGCTATCGATCTGTGTTTAAATGAATCTTCCAAAGCGTTCATCTTTCAAAAGTGTGCTGAAAGTTTTACACCCTGAGTAAAATTTTACTTTGGATAAAAAAAGCTTCATATTTTTCTTTGGAAAATGCGTGCTACTCCTGGTGCATGCATCAAACCGGGTTGTTTAGCTCGGCGTTTGTTCTGCCACAAAGTAAATCTACTGAGTTGTGTAGCTAGGCGGCCGTAGTGCCACAGAGTAAATCCACCGAGTTGTGTAGCTCGGCGGCTGTTATTCCACAAAGTAAATCTACCGAGATGTGAAGCTCGGCGGCACCATTTCATCATGACATGTGATATTTTCGGCACTGGACAAACGAACATTTTAGCTAGGCAGGTACAAAAGTCGGACCGGATCAACTCGGACCGTCAGTCGGGGTCAGATCAACTCGGATCATAAAAAGAAATGTAAAATCAGTCGACGTCACTTACCTTTCACCCACCATTTTGTTTTTTTTCTCACGAACTCGTGGTTGCGTAACTATAATTTTATTTTTATTTCTATTAATTTTAATGATACACCAGTGAGCAGCACACATACACGTCCAGTAAACATTTTCACCTTGGAAGGACGAGAAACCAAACAAAAAGTTCTTTTTACACGCCCGAAGCACTCTGGCCAGTGTCTCCTCAAATAACAAGCACTTGAGGCGAACCATACGATATCACGCTGATCAAATGCCTTCAAAACCTTTTCATTATGATACACAGTTTAGATCGAGGTTTCGCTGTACGCAACCCTTACGTTCAAAATATGAAATAATCATAGATATCTATCGCAAGAACCATCCACCCTTTCCCCTCAACTGCTACCTGTACGCCTAGTAAACATATCGAACGCACTCTCCTAAGCTCCGATTACTCCTCTAGTAAATAGAATAAATTAATTTGATTCTTTTATGTTAATAGAAAGCTTAGTAATTAGCCTGAAACCAGCTTGATAGTTTCTTCAATTCGTTATTCACAATTTCCATCAGTTGATTTGACTTAAGCCAAAAGAAAAAAAGACCAACTTAATGTAAACGGAAAAGGTCAATCGTAACGCCTAGGTGGAAGGATTTATCCGCTTCCGTCGCTTATAGGCTTTCCGAAGATGTGCCACCCTCGGCTGCCCGACTTCAGTGCATCCCGCCACGTGCAAGTACTAGTCATTCAGTGTGAAATACATGTAAATTTAATCTAAGGGATATTACAGAATTTTAATAGTTGCGCCTGGTGGGATAATTTCTATATTCAGTATGTGCTGGAGGGAATGATTTGTTTTAATTCCTCGTTATAAATGTAAAGGATTTATCCGGGATATTTCGCTCAGGGCACCTGGGCGATTGACCGATAAATTCCATGGGATTTCTATAGATATTGCTCTTGCAATATCTGTGTAAATTAGCAATTATTCCATTCATCAGGTTCGGCTCTTCCCTCATAAATTAACAGCCCCCCCCCCCCCGGTCTTTTCCCCCCGGGTAGTTAAAAAAAAATATTCCCCGTTTTTCATTCCCATATTGAAACCCCTCCACCACCCATAACCAATTGTCCCCAATCCGAGGGAGAAATGGAACCCCAAAAAGCCCCAACACAGAACACTCGAGCTAGGGGACTGTGTTAGCCTCCAATCATGGTGGGAATAATTTTTATTTCCGTATGTGGCGGGAGGAATTGTTTGTTTTTATTCCTCGTTATAAATGTAAAGGATTTAACCGGGATATTTCGGTCAGGGCACCTGGGCGATTGACCGATAAATTCCATGGGGTTTCTATAGATATTGCTCTTTGAATATCTGTTTAAATTAGCAATTATTCCATTCATCAGGTTCGGGTCTTCCCCCATAAATTAACAGCCCCCCCCCCCCCCGGTCTCTTACTGCGAGGTAGTGTCAAGAAAATTATCCCGAGTTTTGAGTACACTAGTGAAACCCATTCTCAAGCCTTGACCAAATGTTCCCATTTCGAAGGCGAAGTTGAACCTCAAAAAGTCCCAACACGGGACATTCGGACTAAGGAGTAGATTTAGCCTGCATACCTTGCTTGAAGGCTAGAATAGCCTTAAAAAACATATAATGCGTTCATGAATGTCAATTACTGTTCAGTTTTTGTCGAAGAACTACCTTTAACGAGTTCACACTCTTGTAAACGTTATAAGAAAAACAGAATAGACTGAGAGAGAACAGAAATGCCGCACAAGAACCGCTCCCAGCACGCATGCTTAAAAACTACAAAGCAAATCAACCAGATGAATTTAAATGAAGCAAGATGGAGCTCACGCTAGCGGGCGCTGTTGCTGCGTTGCTGCCAGAAAACTGCGATACATTTTCCCGCACGATGATCTTACCGAGCGTCAGTTTTTTGTCACAGTGATGGTGTAGCTGCATACCAAGTCGGCCCAAAACTCCAGAAGATTGCGAAAAAATGTCGCCTAAAAATACACACTCAAAAGGGTTTTACTATTTACGAATCGATTTCTTTGGCTGCAGTCAGTAACTGGCTGCGCTCCGTATTCTCTTCATGAATCAACTTGGATTGAGCTACGTGGGATTTTCTTGTTACATGTAATTCTTTTGAGTGTAAGTAGTTGAGTGGAATTCTCACCTCAAGATGATTAATCAATCATAAAGCAAAGCGTAGATTATTAATGTTTATAGGAAAATAGGAAGGTTTCTCGAAATGATAAAAGCACAAACCTAACCTTCGTTTCGGTGCTTGAAGTAAATACATGAATCCGGGGAGGGTTAATTAGCATTTATTTTCAGGTTCATTTACCTGGAGAGAAATTTTTCTAGTCGAACATTAAAGGTTTCACTGCTAAAACCTTTATACCTTTGGCACCTGCATTTAAGAGAATTTAAGTATTAGAAACGTCCTTCTGGCAGCCCGGCCGTACTGTTGAGTTCCCCAGAACCGTGTTGCATTGTGCCTTGCCTTTCACAAGACCTTATAGGTGGGGTTTGTATTTGTTAGAGATTGCAGTTTTATACATATGATTGTATAAATATTCTTCACCAATTTGACATTACAAATATTCTTCCCACGACAAAAACCTGAAAATATTTATTTTATTTTATTACGAAAACAAGAACCTGTTTAAGAACCTAAATGGCCAAATTTCAGATACAATTATGTAAGAACTCTTAAAGATCTAAGAAGTTATCTTGGAAAGGTGCGTGGGCCTTTGCTGCATGTATATTAAAAGTTTGTGAAATAAAAACGGGCAATGATACAAGGCAGTCTCATTTGAAAAACTATTAAGTTTAGTTTGGATTTGAATCTCCAGCTATTTAAACTTTTCCTACATCTGAAAAAAAAATTGAACATTTGAGGCTTTTTGACCCATTTTTTAAATGAATCACTGATAAACAGTAATTTTGTGATCGCGGGTTTACTTTTAAATTGTATAAACAAGTGCATTTTAGCCAAAAGGCAAACCATCAGGTGTTTCAACTGCAAGTGCAAACATACCATTTTTTCACTAAGTTTGGTCACAATCACTTCAATTTTCTAAATCCTCTTTAGAGACCTTATAGAAAACTGCGCCAAATCAAACGATTAATATGGATACAGGTGCTTTTGAATTTACACAAAATGGATAGCTCAAATACAGCAAGATTACTTACGACTAGATATAAACAGTGCCTTTTGCGTGCATTCATGAAAATCATCGTCAACCAAGATGGAAGTTCTTCTCGCTTTGATGGTGTGTTTTGCGACACCTTCGCTTATCCAAGGTAAAGTTTTCACTTCAATATTTTCTCTTTATTCCATTGAGATTATTATTATCTTTTTCTAAGGTAGAAAGAAACCAAGGCTAAAACATAGAAAATAAAAAGTTAATACTTTTCTGGGTGAATTTTTCACTTCAGCTTTTCCCTTTTTTTATTTTCTCTAATTATCTTCGTTTTTTAACAAACCAGTGCTAAAACATAGTCATGAAAATCAAAAATTAAAATTAATTAACATCTTTAAAAGTATTTTAGATAAATCTCAAAGGAGTTGTTTTGTTCTTAATGAGCTTCAACATAAATGCAATAAAACGATGCCGGATACTTGAATCGGATTGTGGATTCTATAAGAATGCGTGGGCGCACTTTATTTTCTACCACCGCTTCAGACTGTCACATGAAAAAAAAATCCTGCAAGCGATTGCGTGTAAACAAATTTCCATAGTTTGATCTTTCAATGATTTATCACTTGGAAAATATACGATTTCTATTCTTGTTTAACAGGGTGTGGCAGCAAACCTTTTGGATCACGCATTGTAGGGGGAGAAGAGGCACGTCCTAATTCCTGGCCGTGGCAGTTATCCCTTCGAGTATATGGAAGCCACATATGCGGCGCCTCCCTGCTGAATCAGCACTGGGCTTTAACTGCCGCACATTGTGTTGATCGGAGCAGTGACCCCAATCGGTACTCGCTTGTTCTGGGTAAGTCAATGAGTTTGAAATAAAATCTTTCTTTCTAGTGCATTTTAATAAATTCATGCAGGCGTGGGTGAAATTCATATGGTTTCATTACAACTCTTGGACATACAGACATTCATCCCTAACCCTTCCCCCTCCCCGTTTGTTATTGTGGTAAAGGGTGCTGCTTACTTTACTACACCCCCCGCCCCTCTGCTCTGATAGTGGGATTGGCGCTGCTAGGGACTTATGACCTGGATAAATATTTTTTCGAACTCTCTACGACTCTCTCGAACGGTATTGGCACCACAACAAGTGACCTCGTTGAGGGGTTACCAATATTGATAGAAGATCCTCATTAACGAAAAAGACTTGATCACATTAAATATCACTTATATACGACACAGAGTAAACATAATAGTAGCGTATCGATACCCGTTATGAGTTAAAAGGCGAGTCCCCTCCTATACTGAATCTCAGTTTAATAATTGACACAGGTGCTCATGGAAGAAAAAGTGACGGTGAGGTGTACAAGGTGAGCCGTGTAATCAAACATCCTGATTTCAGTATGAGACATCTGCGTCACGATGTAGCTGTGTTACAACTGGCGCGACCAGCAAGTCTTAACAATACAGTTGGAACCGTCTGTCTGCCTAGCCATGGGTCACGCGTTGAACTAGGAACAACATGCTACGTTACAGGTAAATTATATAGCGGGAGATTGACGCATTTTTAGTTACATGGTTATACACATTATCGTAGTACAACTTTAAAAAGCTAATATTTCCGTTCATGGTTTATACTACAATCTCATGTAATGCTTTTTACGAAACATTCACGATAAACGTTTTGCCTTAGTAACAACTAAAGCATTTTTTAAATGCGTCATTTCTTAAACTGAACCTTAAACAAATTTCTTAAAATAGGATAAACATAAACTCATGTTTCCTTGTATTTACTGAGCCCCTTTTTTACTGTCCTCTTTTATTTTTTGCAAATATATTTTTTTCGACTTCCTCGATAACAAATTTACTAGGCGGCCGTAGTGAGGTAACCTCAGAGGATAACAAGAACAACGGAAGCTGTCCTCCATTACTATCTGTTATGGTTGTTAAATCATTAACTTATGCCTTTTTCTTTGGCGCATGCTTTTAGGATGGGGACGAATCAATCCAAACAACAACGCCCTCTCTCCCTACCTTAAACAAGCTGAGGCTCCATTGGCCAGTCACATTCAGTGCCGTCGGACAAACGGAGGATTCGTGGACGAAAGTTCCATGGTTTGTGTAGGGGGACAGGGTAGTAGTGTGTGTAACGGTGACAGTGGAGGGCCCTTGTCGTGTATGGAAGGTGGCAAGTGGGTAGTACGCGGTGCAGCTTCCTGGGTGACCAGCCGAACATGTCCTGGAAGCACTTATTCCGTGTATGCTCGCGTCAGCTCATACGTGAACTGGATCAACAGCTACATACAAGGTGAGTTAAATGAAAGTTTGAGAATCACTTTTAAGGCAAACAGCAAATGCCAGTTTGTTTCACGTGAACAGGCTTTCCGTTTACTGGTTGTTTGAGGTTCAAGTCTACAGAATAACAATTGTTTTGATGTCAGTTCCATCCATGTGAATTCTCTTAGCCCGTTTTCGTCTGCTCATACCTAATTTGAGAAATTACCTTAAACTGGTTCTTACTCTCTCTATTTTCAATTAAGATACCAGAACCATAAACATAACATAAGCTCTTGACCACTTGTTAGCCTATCTTAAGTCAGCATCAAACGACTGCCTCAAACTCCCGGAAGATAAGTGATGTACTTTCACCTTTAAGCGAGATACCTCTGAAATTTTTCGCTGATAACGTTAATTTGTATGATTTCATCTTTCTTTATAGATGACTTCATCCGGTAAAGATAAGTTGAATTAGGAGAAATATATTGTTTAAGTAAAAAAGACATAAAGGGCTTATTTTCCATTCGTCTCATTAGGTGGTGGCGGTGGCGGTGGCGGTGGTGGCGGTGGCGGTGGCGGTAAGTTATTATGATTTAGCTTTATAAACGCATTCATTTCCTGGCATTTATACTGTTATGATTGGAGTATTCTAAAGTCGCACAGAATATTTATACAAAATATACTCTGGATCAGTGCAGACATTCTGTAAGCAAAGCGAATTGTGGGTCAACAAGTATGTATCTGAATATTCTACGTGTATATGATGAACTGAATGTTTTTGAGTAATTTTTTTACATTGAAAGGGAAAGAACCATTCAGTTTTTTATATTAGTTAAATTATTATTTATGTTGGTCGTAAACGTACCGTTTTAAGTAGTAGCTTGTTGCTTATCATGCAAAATTTAAGTACAAATAAGCAACATACATACAAGTGACATTTCCTAAAACCAACATACCGATCAGTTAGTCCATTTAACTTTCATTAATTTGTCCTGTTTATCAGCTTGCGT